CTTCTTCTTCTTTTTTCTTTTTTATACACTCAGAAATTTTATTGTGAACCGTGGAGAGCTGGACGTGAATTTCCTACTGTAAGTATACTTAAGCTTATCTATTTTACTCTTAATAAATGCTATGGTAAAAAAGGAAAAATCATTGATATCGGATAAAGAAGAGGAGAACAGCAAAAATGCAAAGTGAAAAAACAGAGTTTAGGAAAAGCAAGAACATTCCATCTGCAAGCCTCAGTCTTAACAGTTTTGGAGACAGCATCTGTTTCCATAACTTCCTTCATCTAAGCTCATTTTCAGGAGTGTTGCTTGGATTGGCCTGAGATCCCGTGGGTGAAACAATGGCATCAAGACCAAACCTGAAATCAGGCAAAGTGCAACTATCTGAACTGTAGATCTGAGTTTCAAGCCTGCCTGCAGGCTGTTCATGTCTCACATTTTCTTCTCCAGCAGCCTGTGATTCTCCACCACCATTTTCAGCCTTCCCTTTCAGAGAATCATCATTCTGGGGAGCAGATGGATTCTCCATCATAACTGGAAAACCTGTGTTCTTAGATTCTGAATGAGGTTGAGCACCCACAGCAGGGTGTTGATCAAGATTTGGAGACTTATTTTCCTCCATTTTAGACTCAACAGCTTGATTTTCTGCAGGATTCTGGGAAAGCCTGCTGGCATTTGAAACATCCCAATCATAGGCCTTAAAACATGGCTCAGTTGATCTCTGGCTGTAAGTTTGAGACACCTGACTTCCAGTCTCCTCACTGCAGGACACATCCTTGGATGACAACCATTGTGGCTGCGTCGAAATCTCAAACACCTGCATTACCTCGTCCTGTTCGACCATCCTAAGATTCTCCAGCGGGGCGGAGGAGGGGCTGCAGATTCAGGTTGATGTTTCTGATAAAGATTCAGACCCGGCCCCATCGCTTTCTCCCCTGCTAACAACCCACCAGATTGAGGAGCCATAACTGAGGGACTAAAAGTTGGTTTAGGATGCTGCAAAACTTGTTCTGAAGCTGCAGGGATGACACCATTGTTAAGAACTGGGATAGGCATATCTCTTCTCTGAAACATTTTAGCTTGTGGAACAACATCGGTTGCTGCTGTAATGGGGGAAAATCGCCCCGGTTGGAACACAACCCCGCGAAGCAAGGCACTGCTATTGGCAACTCTCACAGTGAGAAAGTAACCAGCATCGAAACAGCCATCAATTACCCCAGAAACCATTCTTCCCACCATGTCATCCACCTCAGAGCTTTGCTCTTTCACTTCCCCAGGTTGGATTATCTTCCTGGTTTCAGAAGACTGTGAGCTGCTTATAACTTTCTCAGAAACACTCCCATCTTTGCGTGGACGGCCTCTCCTCCTCTTTGCAGGAAGGATTGGCAGAGAAGATGAATTAGCTGCCTGCAGATTCTGCTCACTCATTCTGGGGAAATTAAATCCCAACCTTGATTCTTGATTCTGCCAGATTGTTAATTTCCTCTGAGGAGGAATGTATAAACGTTAAATGTAAAAGAACCAATTAAGATTCATTAACACGTCAAGAACGCAGGGAATCAACCCAACAAAGTAAACATACACATGGATGATTACAATGAATTAATAAGAACATCCCCTCCCAGTTTCTGCTTAATCTCACAAAATTGGGAAGAACAAAGCTACAACAAGATCCATAATCATGTTTAGGGCAAAATGAATTAATCACGCACGCAAAAACATGCGATAATGAACAACCTTAAAATACTCCGTATGTATATGTCTAATTCAAGAACACAGTGGTTCCAATGCAGGATATGCATATACGTGCATGCAGTGTGTGTATGTATAAAACAGTGTATATATACCCATATACGTGTGAATGTAAAATAGCAGAAATTAAATACTTACATTTTTTTAATTTCTGGAAATGGGAAATCAATTAGGGATATATTTCTTCTTCTTCTTCCTATTCTTTTTTCTTATGCTTCCCCATTTTCTTTGGGAAGAGTATGGGCTGCGTAGAATGCGGGATTGATACCGTATAGATTTGTGAGTGTGTAAATGTCAATAATGTAATTAGCATAAGTCTTTTTTAATACCCAAAAAAAAAAAAAAAAAAGTATGAATAGTCATTGTTCCATTCTTGACCACACTCTCTTAGTCTAGCCCGTTGCATGTAATCTTTATAGTTTGATTTATCTCTCAATTACGTACTATTTATACAAGAGCATGTTTACCCAATGCACACTCAAAACAATGTCATTTTGTATTGAACTTCATAGCCATTCAATCTTCTTGAAATGTTTCCACCATATTACATGCAAATTAAGGATTGTTTTTTGGGATGACGAGAAAAACTCATAAGCACTATCTGATGAAAGTATGCACGAGATAAACCAGTCTAGGTTCTATGACCGCTCTTACTTAATGTCAAATTTGAAACAATAATGTGGTTACCAAGCCAGACCAATAACCTAGTCAGGTTGGTTGGGGTCGTGTTTGAAGTATTGTATGGTGTTAAAGAGGGATGGAGAAGAATGCATATACTTGAATCTTGGGGACTTGACTTTCATTATTACATGTTTTACAAATACAAGGTAAAAGATCTGGACATATAAAGATCAGATGAGTGGTCTGGCCTTATATATCATAATCATTCAATACATACATCTAGCAAAAATCAAAGTTTATTTGTATGAAATGCAGAAGAAATTATCTACTCTGATCTGAATCACAGTTCTTGAACAAGAGCATCAAAACGAAGCATGAATCTCCCATAAACACAACTATATATAAGCATATATAATGAAGGGGGGGAAAAACAAGGAGGATTTATATAATTATATATGCATGCATGCTTAAGACAAGGCATTGGCTCCAGCAACAATCTCCAAGATTTCTCCGGTAATCTTCGCCTGACGCTGTCTGTTGTAAGCTGTAGACAGGTTCTTCCTCAACTCTTTAGCGTTGTCGGTGGCATTGCTCATCGCACTCATCCTGGAAGCCAGCTCGCTGGCTAGTGATTCCTGCAAAGCTCTCAGAATCTGACTGTTCAAGTAGAGAGGCAACAGGGCGTCCAGAATCTGAACTGGGTCCTGCTCGAACTCCAAGATTGATGAGAATTCTGGGGTTTCAGTCCTTCTCACGTCTCTCTCCACCGTCAGTTTCCCTTCTTTGGTCGTCAGCCTGAAGAACTCGTCTTCTGCTGCGTCGACACAGTTGCCGTTTATGTCGCAGATCTCTCCCTTTGGGGATAGGGGGACTAAGGTGTGAATCACGGGCTCGGATTTGACTAAAGACACGAACTTTGTGTACAAAAGCTCGACTTTATCGACCTCTTCGCTCACGAAGAGGGAAAAGACATCATCGGCGATTGCCTGGGCGTCTTTTGCGGTTGGGAGAGTGCTGCCGTCGAGGAATCTGTCGACGGGAATGTGAGGTCGGCGGATGAAATAGGTATTCCCCTTCTTCCCACGCTAATCACCGTGTAATCCACGCCGAGCCCCTTGAGCTCCGCAATCCTGGCCTCGGCTTTCTTGAGGATATTACTGTTGAACGCGCCGCAGAGGCCACGGTCGCCGGTGACGACCACCAGGGCGACTTTCTTGACGGGCGGACCTTCGTGAGCGGCACCTCCGCGTCGTCCGTCTGGAGCTGCTCGTTGATGTTGTAAAGAACCTCAACGAGGGTCTCCGAGAAGGGCCGCCCGTTCACCACGGCTTCCTGGGCTCTCCTCACTTTAGCCGCCGCCACCAGCTTCATGGCCTCCGTGATCTTCCCGGTGTTCTTCACCGACGTAATCCGATCACGGAGCTCGCGCAGGTCGCACCGGATTGGGGCCACCGACGACGATCTAGACGGGTTGCAGGAGCCGCCGGAGCTCTGGGCGGGGAGCTGCAGCGGGTTGAGAGAAGAGCCGAAAGAGAGCAGAGAGGAGTTGGAAAGGGAAGGTTTTGACGACACCAACATTGTCAGATTGGAGCAAGACATGGCTGTAAACTACGAACACTTTAAGCCTGAGCTTCAGGAGATTGAAAGCAGGCGAAGATGAGAAGTGGGGAAGAAATGGGGAGTGATGAGTTTTTGCATAAGAGATGTTTTTTTTGATGCGGTGAGATTTGTTGTATGGCTGGAATAGAGGAGGGAATGAGAGGTGGAGGGAGGTGTTTGGATGAGGTTTGAGGATAAGATTCTTGACCGTTGTAGATTGCATTTAATTTTGTAAAAAACTAAGAAATATGATTACAAATTACAACTAACCTTAAAATATCAATAAAAAATCTTAGCCCAAGTTTGTAGATATTGGAGTTCTTGCCCAATTTCATAACCTCAATGTTTAGTTTAATGTTCATAAACTATGCACAGAAAATTTAACTTTTTTGTTTGAAACCAAAATACTTCATTAGCTTAAGTCGCAATATCCGACAAAATTCATCAAAAATAAAAGAGGGGGCAATGAAAACCAAGCCCAACAATCAGCTGTGAATAAAACTTCTCCATCTACTAAATGAATTTTCATATTCGCACATTGTTTAAGAGAAGTAAAGTTAACACTATGAAAATCATTAACTAGTTTACAGATATCATCAATGACTATATCAAAGTAAGAGTCTAATTTAGAATTTTTCAGCACTTGAGTCTAATTTAGATCAAAACTTAATGTTCAAACTATATACTATATATTTAAAAACTCAAACTTAATATTCATAATCTAAACACTACAAAATTCATTATGTTACATGCTCATAACATGTCTCATATGTTATATATGTAAGAAACTCAAAATTTAATGTTTACAAATTAGACATTATATGTTCACAAATTCAAAATTTAATGTTCATAAATTAGTATATTCAAAACTTTTTTTTTTTTTTGAAACAAACCAAACCAGATTTCATTAACAGAATAAATCGGCAATACAATCAGGTGGGCTGACATCCCACGACACAGAGCCAAACGAAGAACCAGTTGCCCGAGCCAACCTATGAGCCACATGATTCGCTGATCTCCGGACATGACGGACTGTAACGTCCCCTATGTCCTTAGCAATCGTACGACATTGCTTTACAATCGAACCTAAGTAAGACAAATCTAACCATACGGGAATTGAAAGCATTACAAAAAACTAAACAATCCGACTCGATAATAACTTTATTATGGTGAAGACCGAATAACCATCTGAGAGCATTAAGCACCGCGAGCGCCTCAGCCTGGAGCGGATCGTGAGTGTGGTTAATACGCCCGCTTCTTGCCGCGACGAACTCCCCAGCATGGTCACGAAGTACTGCGTCGTAGCCTGCCCCGTCTGGAAGACAGCCGCATCTACATTGCACTTGAGAAAGGTGGTTGGCGGTGGGGTCCAAGAAGGAACCAGAATTCTGCTATCTGCATTAGTAGTGCGGGTTGCATATGTCTCCTGCCAAACTTGCTGAGTGTTAACAACCTTCTTATTTAACTCCATCATCGATGGAGCTTCTTGACGCCACACTATTGCATTGCGTGCTTTCCATAAAGTCCATACAACAGCTGCCAGCTTGCACGCATGTACTGCATCTTGCTGCCCTATAATGTTTTCCAACATAGTTGGGAAATTCTGGCCCTGTACCGCGACATTTGTACCCCATAGGTGCGTAGCATAGACGCATTCGCCGAAGATGTGCTCAGTTGTTTCGAAGGGGAAACCGCAGAACGGGCAACCGCCCCCGATCCTAACCCTCTTCGATTTCAAGTTTTCGCGGACAGGCAACACATTACGAGCGCACCGCCAAAGCAGATTTTTCACTTTCGGGGCACCGGGGAGCGACCATAAACGATTCCACGAGTGAAAGCCAAACTGAGATCCCGAGCCCTCTAGCTGACCCGTGAGCATATGGTAGCCCTGTTTCACCCGTGTAACAGCCTCGGTGCATCCGCCGATCCCAACGCCAAGAATCCTTGTATTCTTTGCTTACGGGAGTCGCGAGAATTATGTGTACATCCTCTACTTGGAAAAGATCGTGTAACACCCCTTCATCCCATTCACCTAGTTCATTCATCAACACGTGAACTTTCGCCTCTTTGAGGCTCCTCGACGCAAGGCGTAAGCAAGCCTGTGTCGGGTGAACTAGCAAGCCAATTCCAGCCCCAAATCAGTGTGTCCATACCATCCCCGGATTCTCCATGCCAAACCTCGTCTCAAAACCACCTGTCCAGCCACAATGCCGCGCCAAAAATAACTTGGGTTCGTGCCTACGGATGCTTCCATAAAGTCACCTGTTGGAAAATATTTGGCTTTAAGCAGCCTGCTTACTAAAGATTCGGGTTGGGTTAAAATACGCCAACCCTGTTTAGCTAACAGAGCCAGATTAAAAATCACGAATGCGTTTGAAGCCCAGCCCACCCTTCGCCTTCCGGTTCGCACAAACGACTCCAACTGAGCCAATGTATCCCCCGACTGTTAGCACTACCACCCCCCCCACCAAAATCGAGTAAATAATTTCTCAATCGTGTCGCAGACACGAACTGGCAAAAGAAAGGTCGACATGGTGAATATGGGGAGGGGCCTGAGCTATACTTTTCAGTAAGATTTCTTTACCTGCTCTCGACAGGAGCTTGTGTTGCCATAAACCGATTCTCTCCCCGAATTTTGTCCTCAATGTACCGAAAGGTGGCAATTTTGTTGGCGACCCAGCACCGAGGGTAGTCCCAAGTACCTCCCTAAATCACGAGCTTCCTGGACTCCAAAGATGTCACAAACTAATTGTCGCATACCGGTCGCAGTGTTGGTGCTGAACACGACATTGGATTTTTCAAAGTTGACTAATTGCCCCCGAAGCCGCACAATATCCATCCAAACAGTCCTTGATTTTAGTAGTTTCACGTTGGTTTGGCCCTAAAAACAGCAAACTGTCGTCAGCAAAGAACAGATGGGTGACCTCAGGAGCACCCCGAGCCACCCTCACCCCATGAATATCACCACTAGCTTCTACCTGTTTTAAGAGTACAGACAACGCTTCAGCACACAAAATAAATAAGTAAGGGGATAAAGGATCGCCTTGGCGAATGCCCCGAGTGGGACAGACAGATCCCGCTGTCTCGCCATTGACAAGGATATTGTAAGTGACCGTAGAGACACAAAGCATCAATAATCTCACCCACTGACTCGAAAATCCCATAGCCCGCATGATCCCTTCCAAAAATCCCCACTCCATGCGATCATACGCCTTAGCCATGTCTAGCTTCAGCGCCACCCACCCCAAATTACCACTGACTTTTCGACGCAGATAATGCCCTACTTCCCCGGCTATTATAATGTTATCTGTCAATAGCCTCCCGGGTACAAAGGCACTCTGGGATTGTGAGACCACCTGCCCCAGAAGGTCTTTGAGTCTGTTAGCCAGCATCTTGGCCAAGACTTTATACACAACATTGCAGAGTGCGATTGGTCTTAAGTCAGCTACCTTTTCAGGTACTTTCTTTTTGGGCAACAACACTATATTAGACACATTTAGATCCCGGGGAACATTGCAGTCAGCAACACACTTCAGAACGAACATGGACAGATCATGGCCTAAAATTGGCCAAAAGTGCTGATAGAATGCCGGGGACATACCATCAGGACCTGGAGCCTTCTCCGGAGCCATGGAAAAAAGGGCCTCTTTCACGTCCGCAGACGTAAATGGCCGTAAGAGAGAGATATTCATCTCATCAGTGACACAACAACGCATGCGGGGGAATAGCGTTGTGTCGCTAGAGCCCGCACAAAAAATAGCACTATAGTACCTTAGTATTTCGGAATGCATAGCGTTGTCTTCATGCCAAACCCCGTCCTGATCCATTAACCGCTGTAGATAGTTACGTTTTTTACGTGCCGACACCGATTTGTGAAAATACTTCGTGTTGGAGTCCCCAAGCATAAGCCATAGATGCTTGGATCTTTGGAGCCAAAAAATCTCCTCCTGTCTCAATAAGACTTCAAGTGCTGCCCCGGTTTCTAGGAACTCCTTCACTGCCTGCGGATCCCTATCCTCTTTCAGAACAGCCAGTCTGTTTCGATGGATTTTGATCCTATTGCCGAACTGGCTTGAATGCTCCCTGCCCCATCGCTGAAGCTGTTGGCCGCAAAGCTCTATTCGGTGCAGAAACTCCATACCACGAGACTGCCCCCACGCCGCCTCAACTACCATTGCACAACCTTCCTCCAACAACCACGCAGACTCGAATTTAAAAGACCTTCGTGCATGCCGTATCGGACGCTGTTCCATGTCCACGAGAATAGCACTATGGTCAGATTGTGATGTGTAAACCTTACGAACCTCTGTATCCTCGTGTAACTCCAACCACTCCACCGTAGCCACCGCCTATCGAGCCTTTCCTCACCCACGCCTCAGTACCATGTCCCTTCGACCATGTGAATTGACCTCCTGACATTCCCATATCAACCAAATTACATTCATTCAACGCATCATTAAAGCCATCCATGAGGGCCTCCGGATGCGAATGAGTACCCCGTTTCTCGGAAAGACACGTTATGTCGTTGAAATCCCCTACAACGACCAAGGGAGTGATGATCGGCCCTTTAGTTGCCGTAGGGATTCCCAGGTGATATGCCTCCGAGACCTGTCGGGTTCCCCATAGAATCCGGTCAACCTCCACATCGGCTTACCTGGTTGCTTGACCTCCATGTCAATATGATTCACTGAGTAACTGAGTAATGAAGCCGCCTCAGCATCTCTCCAGAACATTGCTAAACCTCCTCCCCTGCCCACACAGTCAACCGAAACTGCCCCTTCAAACCCCAACTTCACTCTTACCTCTTCAATTTTGTCCGCTTTTGCCTTCGTCTCTGTTAAGAAGACGAAGAAGGGTCGCTCCTTGGACAATACGCCCAAGAGTTCTCGAACTGTCCGGGTGCCACCCAAACCCCGGCAGTTCCAACTGAGGATATTCATTGGCCTGGGCGAGCCTGGCACTCCAGACCCGCCGACATTGACATTTTGGTGTTCTCGGACATCATAACATCCTCTCCGGACGTAGTACCATTACTGGCCGCCCCTTCCTCCTCACGACGCCGCTTCAGTTCGCCCTATAGCCCACGCTTTCCACTGCTGTGACCAGAGTTAACGGAGAAGGACCCGAAGCTTCAGGAATCGGTGCCACCTGTGTTGTGGACTGCAGGATCCATCTCGCTCCTACTTGAC